CAATTAGTTATTAGTACTGTATATTTTTAAGTACGATGTTTTTCCCATATAAAATTTCTTTTGTTAAAGAAATTCAATCTGATTAAAAGTTTTAATGATTTAATTAAGAAATTGTTTAAACATATATTTTAGTAGAATTTCAAAATTTATTAAGATATATTATCATTTGACCAATAGTTTAATATACTGTGTTTTATTATATCATCATTTGATGATTCAAAATCAAGCTATATAATTTTAAGATAGATTTTGTTACAATTTCAAAATAGAGTTTGGTTTTTTTTTATTTTCTTGTTCCGTTTTTCTATATTTTGTACATATATCATGTATACCTTGTATTGGTAAGTATTTATGTAAGTATATAAGTATATTTTTTACATTCATTAACACATTCTAATATTTATTTAAAATCTTATATCATATGGTTAATATAAGATTTTTAATAAATATATTTTAGGTTTTGAGAACTTATTATTATATTCTTTTATTGCAATATTGCTCCATCCAAATCTTCAAACATATTCTAACTATAATCGTGCAACGCATAGATCAATATATTTATTTTTGTCATTTTTTTCGTAAGACATTAATATATAGAAAGTTAATTTATACATAATCTTTTTTTTTAAGTTTTGTTAAACACTTTAAAATTATATTTTCTAGATTTTTGGGTTAAAAGCATTGGTTGAAATATTAAATTATTAAATATGTATTTTCTTGGATTGTGGTGTTGAACTACATACATTTTTACATAAAGATCATATATCATTGCCCATATATTTTGTTGTACAATTTATGAATAATGTCACCATTAATTTTTTACTTTATATGTATCAAAACTTAAGATTTTTTATAGGGACAATTGCAAAAATGCNACTTTTGGTGTGCCACTAATACAACATAGTTAATCCAAACATACTTGATATAATGAGTAAATAATTTTGAAAAATTGGCATTTTGCAAAGATTTTGAAAATTTGGCATTTTGCAAAGATTTTGAAAAATTGGCATTTTGCAAAGATTTTGAAAAAATTGCATTTTTGAAAAGTGTCATTTCTCAAAATTTATCTTTTTATATTTATTTTAAATTGTGGTATTACAACGTTTTCAATATTTTTCTTTNATACTTCAAAAAAAACTNAAATATAANATTTTGAATAAAATCTTACATTTCAAAATTTCACCTTATTTTCTCATCTTTAGTGAAATTGTTTAATATCCTCTTTTTGTATAAAATATTTTTCTCATCTATTAGTGAAAGTTAATTTCTCAAATTTCTTTTAGTGAAATCATATATCCCTTTTTTTTAAACTTTCAACCTCCTGACAATCGGTTGAAACACAATTATGATGATTTAATC